AATTCCCAGAAAAGTGTTGCCCACATTGCTAAATATCTACACTTTTGTTAACTGGTACAATTGCTAAAAACTCCGGTCATCTGAAGAAATGGGCTGTGCCCACGAAAGCTCATGATACCATCAACATATTTTGTTAGTCTATAAAGTGCTACCAGACCATTTGTTGTTTTTTCCTGTACAGACTAACTCGACCTTCCCCCTGAAACTTCTGGTACAGTTAAGTTAGGGTAAAACTGACCATTAACACTAAATTGCCCTTAAAGGATTGAACAGGGTTGAAGGTACACAGTGCGCAAGAGAGTGGAAGGAGGAAGGGATCTAGAGACACTTGCATTTCTTTTGCCTGTGCAATAACTGGTCTGTGGATTTTCAGAGAACTTTAGTCTATGAGTCCTATACCTTTTAAAATTGAATTTAAGGTAAGGGAATAATGTAGATTTTCTGCAGGCTTGGAAGCCTCGGTACAGGGCCCAGTTCTTTGGAGGGAACTCCACCAAGGCACAATTCTTAGAATAGGAAAAACAGAAGGATGGTGTAGTAGTTGAAGCATATGTAATGTGGATTCTGTTCCTGCCTCTGCCACTGACTTATTGCTCAGCAACCTTGGGCAAGCCTCTTTACCACCGTTTTCTCATCTGTAAAGCAGGTGTGATAATACTTCCCTTCCTTACAGAGTTTAACAAGGTATCATTCATTAATCTATTTCTAAAGTGCTTTGAGATCTTCCGAGTGAGGACATCACAGAATTACTAGTGAGACTTCATAAAAGCCAAAGTATCTGAAAAAAATCACTCATCTGAAGGTCTCGATTAGCGATGGGCAACCTGCAGCCTGTCAGGATAAGCCACTGGCAGGCCACGAGACAGTTTCTATATATTGAGCATCTGAAGTGGCCATGGTTCGCTTTTCCCGGCCAATGGGAGCTGCGGGAAGTGGCAGCCAGCATGTCTCTGTGCCTCATTGCCTCCCACAGCTCCCATTGGCTGGGAACGACAAACCACAGCCACTAGGAGTTGCAGGAGGATGTGCCTGCCCACACTGAATGTAAACAAACTGTTTCGCGGGCTGCCAACAGTTTACCCTGATGGGCCGCTTGCAGGCTGCAGATTGCCCACTGCTGGTCTCGATCATGTTTTTAAAGAGCATGAATTTTTTAAAATCTAACTTTCACGAAAAAGCCAGCCTGTGAATGGTATGGTTAGAATTTGGAGCAACTTACTCTGTTCATCCTGCCTACAAAATCTCTGACACAAAGAAGAATATTTTTAACAACACTGAACTCAGCCTTGCCAAAAAAAGAAGTTCAGAGTTAATTTTACCATGATCAAGACAGACATGAATGACTTGCAACAGGTTAACTGCAAGGGGAAGAATTATTTTTTTTAAACCAAGCATTAAAAATGGTAACATTAATGTTGAGCCTTTTAATTATAAACATCCGTAAGTCTAAAGGCATAACAAGATAAAAACACCTTCAATCCATAACAAGAATACTCTTTACTGAAGAGTTAAAGTTTGCAATAAATCTAGTTTGCCACAAGCTAAAATTCTTGACAGCCAATCTGGTGTAATGCCACAAATCAGTGTAACATAACAAACAGCAGACGTATTCTGTGGCACAGCTTCCCTATAAACTTCAATCTCTGTGAAAAAAAATCTTGATTTATTATATAGCTTTTGGACAGTTACGAAAGAAAATTTGCCAAAGATCAGAATAATCAACTCTTTCACCCAAGCAGTTTTTTATGAAAGAATAAAGCACAGAATGGGTCTGAGCAAAATAAATAAAAATTCCACACTTTTAACCCACAGAACCTTTTGCGTCATTCAGAAATATTTGCAGACATTAACAATCTTTTATCATCAAAAAAGCACTCCAGCCTTCAAAATTAGGACTTTTTTTTGTTAATTTTTTTTGGTGGCCTTCTAACACTCCTGTTTGTGCCGTTACTTGCTTGTAAACACTGACTGATGTTATTTGTCAAAGCAAGGTTTTTTAAAGATACATGTAGCTGATTCCCCTGAAAACTCCTCTGTTTTGCCAAGCTATTCTCTGCAGGTTATAAAAATAGTAGTATGTAATTTACAAATAGTATCTGTAATAGGATTCATTGTTGTGGACGTCTGAACTCCATGTTTCATTTTCTGAAAGGGAAACTAATACTTCATACTCCTCTTGGGAATGCTAGTTGTTTTAATGCAATTTACTTCTTATTTTGGATTCATGAAGAGGGTTGCAAACAGAAACATACATTAGCCATTCATAACAAATATACTAGCCCCATTCAGAACATGTAAAGGCATTACTATTGCATCATTCTGAACAGCCCTGTTGTTCCACTAGCCCGTGTAATTACCACACAATGCAGGCCAGACAGTTTCCTGGTGGAAGGTGCTGTGTACTTAGGACCAAATAAAATAGTCATGGTAAATAAATAAATAATGAAAATAAATGAAGGCTGTTTTGAAATCTGACTCAATAAATGGCTTCTTGGCTAAATGGCACTTTGGTAAAGATGCTCCCATATTTGTTGATTTATCAAAAAAATTGCTGCTCACTTGTGCTTAGATATTTGTATCTGTGCAGAAGAAGAAGGGGGTTATTAAGCAAGACTTTCAGTAAGACACCAGATGATGGATAGTCAAACACAGAGTCTCCTGTAAACACAGAGAGAACCAAAAGGTATGAGCTGACTCATAATTGTGTCAACACAGGTTGCAGACCCTTGGTTTATTTCAGCCTGCCTGTTTTTCACAGATTTCTTTTTCACGCTGCATTTTTTAAACAGCTTCTTTTCAATACACCTATGTGGGATTGTGACGTACTCATGCTGAGTAAAGCCCAGACCTACTGATGAAGGTGGGGGCCCAGGGGAGGGGACAACTGCCCCAGGTCTCAGAGATTCAAAAGGGCTCCAAGTGGCCGTCTGAACCTCAGACCCTTTAAATTGCTGCCGGAGCCTTGCGCAGCATACCCCAGGCCACAGTGAAGGCTGATAGAGGGATGCACAGTGCACTCCGGGCAGCCCCAAGCCCTGTCCTTTCCAGGAGCACAGAGCTGCCCCCTCCCATCTTGCCGAGGGGCCCAGCAATTGCGTAGACCCTCCAGTATTGCCTGCATCCTTCTGTAGTCTTATTAAAATCAATGTGTAAAGTGCTCCTCAACAGGAATAAGGGTGGCAGGATCTGGATTTCTTTTTATTTCCATCTGTCCCCTAAAATGCATCAACCACTATCTTTTTTTAATCAGCACAATCCTTCCAGCAAAGCCACATCTGATCACTTCATCCCAAGGGAAACTTTCTGCCTGCATTTTTTTCCTGGTCCATTAATAAAAAGATACCAAGCCAACACATTTTAGGAGGGAATTGTCACAAATAAATGCCAGAAACGACACCTAGATAATATTTCAGAAACAATAAAAGTTGAGACAGATCAAGTTTTTTTTTTAAACAATGTTCCTTGAATGTTATTGTGTGTTTCTATGCAGCAGGATGTCTCAAGCAGTCCAGGTTTCCACATTAGGAATCAAGGTTAATTGAACAACAGAGATAATTCCATATGCAAATCACAATATATTAAGTTTCCCTTGCTCCAAGTAAGTTCCCTACCTTCAGAAATTGTTTCAAGGTTTGAGTGAATATAGACCAAACAACTGTCCATGAACTGGAAGAGACAGTTTTGTTCTTTATGTCCATTTCCCTCCTTTAGCTCCCTTCAACCACATAGTGAGAGAAATGAAATTTGCTGGAAACCATGAAAACAGTTTACTAGCTTTCCACATATTTTCCTTGCATAAATGGCAAATTTGGTGTGTAAACCATAGCACATTGGTCAGGCCCCCTGAGTCCCACCAAAGTCAGACAAATTAGGGAATTTGCTATCTCAGTTGTTACAGTTTCTTGCCTTTCATTTATTCCTCGCCAGTGTCTGGATTTACGTCAGAGGGGAAAAATAGGAGTTTGGCTAGTTAAAGTTAACCTGTTATGGATGGAACGGTAACATCATGCTTTCCAGCATATACCCATTAACATTACTCAGTAATGATTGCAGTTAAGAAAATGCTGAAATTTTCCAGATGCGAGAGGAGAAATTATACTCTGTGGAAACAGCAACTGCAAACCCCAATTCCAACTTTTTAATATTTGTTTCACAACAATAAAACAAAGTAATTTTAAAAAATAAGCTTTACGAGGCCTCTATAAAAGTGCATAAAGACAGTGCTATGACATGCATTCTGGATGGCTATTGCTGAGTGAGTCTGCCTGGCTGTACAAAGTGTGTACGACTTGCATATTACCTCCAGAATAAAGTATTAATGTCCAAGCACACTGAAAGGCTCGCTGCTTTTACCAAGTCTCCTACTTCCAGACAGAGGGCTACTTCTTTCAAGACAATGTTGGGTGATGCAGAAAAAGATCCATTTCCATACTGAAGAGCCTGTTATGCACAATGTTGGCCCCATATGGGCCAACCAAAGCATCTGGTACACATGCCCATAACTGTTTAATGGAGGTACACCTTGTAAAGGAAAGACCTCTTTGGCTGCTAGAACCTGCACTTGTAACACCGGCCAGTGGAACAGAACCTGGGACCTCTGGAACTTAAGTGTAGGAGCTTCTACTGCATGAGTTAAAAAGCCAGCTGGCTCAGGTAAGGCTGTAGGGCAGACTAATTATTCTCTCTGTAAGTGGTCTAAGAAGCATGACATGGGACAATACACCACACACAGAACATGTGTTGGTTACACACAAACAACCAGAGAGGCATGGACATTAATACTTTGTCCTCTGCCATACATACATGCACCTGTTGAAAATAGGCAGTGCATCTTATGCCCAGAACACCAATATTAGTTTACAACACCACCTCCTGACTCAGAAAACACACAGTTTGCACAATGAAGTTACAGAAGCTAAACAGAAGCCTCTCAGGTGAGGCGGTGTGGAGAATATGTACTTTGTTTCCACAATGTTTCTAACAGAGAATAGGCCTCTTACCTATTGTTCTTCGGAGATCTTCACACTGGCTAATGTGAGGGAATTTTAAGATTTCCTTCCACTTTTTGCTTTTGCCTTTGCGCTTTCCTCCACCCCCTGCAGAAGAAGGAAAAAGAGATGTAAGGATTATAGTCTTTTTCAGTGCTGTTTCCAATCCACACCTGGGCTTTCCTCTCTTTCAGACTTACTAGTACAGGCACAGCCCCCTCAAACACCTATAGAGTGTCACAGCCTTGCCAGAGTGGCAGTCCGAGTCTGTGTTGTGTTAGAAAAAGCTCCAGGCTATGTGGAGATTTGAAAATTGTATTGGCAGAGATAGGTCAAGAAAGCAATGCTTGGATCCAGATCTGGATTATTGAAGCTTAGAATTCAATTTGAGCCCCACACAAGACCAATAAGTTTGAAAGGGCTGAACTGAGCTGTTTTCATGACATTTTAACACAAAGTGAATTGATGAAAATCAGACATTCATCTGAAGTTCCCACTATTTAGATTTTATCTGAACAACAGGCCTCTTCTGGATTTGTATCCAACTCAAGCCCCTTCCCTAAGGAAGGCTTGGATCTAGAGTCAAAATTCAACACCTCCTGTCCCCATCTCAAATACTGTATACAGCCATAATCTCAAAGTGTCATTGCCTTTGGGCGTTATACTCACGGATCGCTGCTTCCTGAGTAGGGTTAGTATTAATTTAAAATGGAAAAGAGAAGAGAAAATGCAGTCGATTCACCCAACTACACAAAGAAGAGATTATTTTCTTATCTTTTTTTGTCTTTCTTTCCTTTGCTGCTATTCTTCCTTCCTTTCCCCTTTCCTTTGGGCCCAATTATTCTCATTGCAAAAAAATAAGAGGTACCGTAAATTAGCGCATACAGGTATAACCAGTGCACGAGTATTATCCGCACCTGTGTATAACCCACGGTTTTCCCTGATTGAGTAAAAAAAGTCTTGTATACCCTGCACACATGTATAGCCCATGGGAGATGAACCGCGGGCAATGTTAATGCAAAGCACCTGTAATCAAGTGTTAATGAACCACAGTTGATAATGCCAAGCTCTAAGTAGGCTACAATCCTTATTGCTGGTATATAACCCCTTTGAACCACACCGCTTTTCCATTCACTTATTCCTTCAGTGGTTTTAACTTGTATTTTAAACTTTTAAAACCTTTTAAACATGTCTAAGCGCAAATCCTACACAGCCAATTTTTAATTGTGTGTAGTGGCAAATGTGAAATTCTTCCCGACATTGACACTTCAAGCTCTGATTCCGAGTACGACAGCAATTCTGATTCTGTACCACAGACCTCAACTGTCACCGAAGCCAACCTAGTGTTAGCTATGGATTTTATGGATGTTTTTAAAGACAGTGACTATGACGAGAGTTTTGATGGTTTTGAGAACTCAGACGCTAAGGAGGATGCTGCTGGCGCTGATTCTAGAAATCAGAGTGAATGAGAATGTGAAGATGGCTTTTTTTAAATTGTTTTTATTCTTTTACTAGTTGCACAGTAAACTAATGAATTTTAATGTATTTTAATGAATTTTAATATAACTGCCTCTATTATTAAATTAAAATATGCTGCTTTTCTCAAGTAAGAGTCAGTCTTATCTTCCTTTCAGTAAAAAAAAAAAAAAAAAAAAAAAAAAAACCCTGTATTACACGCAGACAAGTACAGCCCGCGGGGAGGTGAGTGGCGGGGTATGTAAAACTTTGCATAACCCGCAGGTTATATTCACTAAAGTACGGTAGTTTGAAATGAATCTGAAGCCTGCATTGCTGCTAAATACCATTTTAAAACTTGCATTGCAAGACAACAATGATAAATGCTTTCCTTGGTCTCAAAAGGAAGTGACAACAGCTTGTTTAGAAAATAATACAATATTTTTCATACATCATGTCATCACCAGCAAAATATGGCTCCCCCCAAGGAGCCAGAACTCTGAGGGGCTAGTGTGGACTACTTTGCGGCACTCCCTACACAGTCCTGCATGGAGTCTGGGAAGTTCCTAAGGCCCTGAGCCCTGAGGGTACAAGTTGTTCAAAATTCTACCTCTGCAGCCCTACTGGAGTCCAAGTATCTCTGTTCCTGATGAGCTCAGTCTTGGTTGCGCCCCTTAAGTCCCCAGAGCACCATTGCTGAAGCTCCAGGTTGAATGAAGTCACCCAGGGGTTCTCTCCCCCAAGAGGTGAGACAAATTAAGGAAAACTGTGACATTAATCCTTGCCTGAATGGGTTCTCTCATTCAGAAATACAGTGATCTTTGTTCACTGAAAGGCCACTTTGCTTCTAAACGACACATGCACCCAGAGATTTAATGTGCTATGTGCTTTAACTTCATGGCCTTAGTTAATTCATCTAACTTGCCTGAATGTCCCCTTGCAGACAAGCCTTAGGAGTGGGTGTGGGCCACTATCTCTCCCATACCCCTGTCAGAGACCTGCCCCCCAAAAATCACTTTTAGAGACTCCAATGCTGGCATTACTGACTTCTCCGAACATTCCCTCTTGTGAGCATGTTTAACGACGTCACTTCACGCATCTCTAATTTCTGCGCTCCCCTCCACTTTTCATTTCCTTTCCCCCCACAACTCCACCCAAACACTTCCTCCTCCACACTCCCGCCTGCCCTTCCAGCTCCTGCCTTCCTACATTCCCAGCTCACTTTGCTTTTCAGTTTTGACACAGTAGTAAAAAGACCTGACTCTTCTGAGAATTCTCTATATTACAGATTCCATAATGGGATTACCCTGGAATGATGTCTACAATCAGACTTTTTTGAACCCAGGATCTGGAGATAAGGAATGCATGGGCTGAGGAAACAATCCTACCCAAATTTAGGGCAAGGCAGGATGGTAATTGTGCCATCTGTCAAGGAATCAAGCAGATGAAGTTTTGGACAATCACTATCCAAATGATTAGTGATAGAGATGTAGCCGTGTTAGTCTGGTGTAGCTGAAACAAAATACAGGACTATGTAGCACTTTAAAGACTAACAAGATGGTTTATTAGATGATGAGCTTTCGTGGGCCAGACCCACTTCCTCAGATCAAATAGTGAAAGAAAATAGTCACAACCATATATACCAAAGGATACAATTTAAAAAAATGAACACACATGAAAAGGACAAATCACATTACAGAACAGAAGGGGGATTTGGGGGGGGGGAAGGAAGGTGAATGCCAGTGAGTTAATGATATTAGAGGTGGGGAAGGGGAAATGTCTGTGAGTTAATAGAATTAGAGGTGATAATTGGGGAAGCTATCTTTGTAATG